CCAAGTCGTCGACGTACACGAGGACGTAGAACGGCGGCAGAGAAGTGTCGGTGCGCAGAAATAACGACGGGTCAGCAGTAGAGGGAGCAAACCCAAGAGCCGCAAGCGTAGTCCTCAGTGTGTCGTGCCACTCACGCGGTGCCTGGCGGAGACCGTAGACTGGCCGTCGGAGGCTCCACTGGGTGCCAGGAGGGAAAGTCCCAGTGAAGCCAGGTGGACGGCGCAGCCAGATCTCCTCGTGCAGGCTACCCTGCAAGAAAGCAGTACTGAAGTCAAGAGAGTGGAGCTCGTAGTCGCGCTGAGCGGCTATGTGCAGCAGCACCCGAAGAGTGGTCATCTTCGGGGTGGGAGAGAAGGTCTGAAAGTAGTCAACTCCCTGCCGCTGACTGAAGCCACGAGCGACGTACCGCGCCTTGAAGACAGGTGGAGAGCCCGGCGGCCGCTTCACCTTGAAGATCCACATGCCACTGACGATGTTCGCCCCAGGAGGGGGAACCGCGTCAACGTAGGTGCCTGTGGACTTCCAGGACGCCATCTCTGCATCCATAGCTGCCTGCCACTGAGAGGAGTAGGGACCCTCTACGGCCTCCACGTAAGAGCGCGGAGTCGGGATGTCTAGTGCATCCGGGTCTCCCTCAGGGGCAAGTAGTACGGACGCGAGATGAGGTGAAGCAGCAGCCAGACACCGGAACTCCTCCTGCCTGTCCTCAAGGACGTCCGTGCCAAGAGCACACTCACCCCCGACGGACGGAGGACAGACAGACGCAGACTCAGCAACAAGACCGGCAGCGTAGTCTAGACGACAGCGAGCAGCAAAGTCGACAAGCTCAGCAACAAGCGCAGACGCAGCAGTGGACTCAAAAGAGGGGTCAGTGACGACAGTAGCAAGGAGACGTGTGACAGCAGGACTGGCAGCACGAAGAGAGTCCGACTCCGGGTCAGGAAGAGCAGGAAGAGAGGACTCAGGAGGAGAAGGCAAAGGGGCACGCAGAGGAGCAGTGGACGGACGCAGAGACATCCGGTGCGTGCCAGGGACAGGAGGAGGACGCTGACGCGAACCACGACCACTAGTGCGAGCAGCACGGACAGGCGACGCAGGGCGAGACGCAGGCTCACGACGCTCAGCAAGACCTCCAGTAGGACCAGTGTAGGGAGAAGGAGCGGGCAGTGGGGAGGCCGGCTGTAACTGTAACTGTGACAGGACAGGCTGTGGACACTCTAAGGGAGGAGGAGGACCAGTAGAAGGCGGGAGACCAAGAACCTGCTGAAGGAGCGGAACGAAGTACGGCCTAGGCCGCGCGGCGACTCCAGACACAGCAGGGACAGCACCAGTACCCCCAGCGGGAGCACCAGCGCCAGTAGCACCTCCAGCTCCAGGACCTCCAGCAGCACCAGTAGCACCCCCAGCAGGACCGTCAGCAGTAGCCTCAGCTCCAACACCCTCAGCAGCTCCAGCTCCAGCACCTCCGGGACCCGCGGCACCAGCACCCTCAGCAGCCGAAGAACCTCCAGCCCCAGCAGCACGCCTCCAGCGCCTGGCAAACCACTCGCGCAGCTCCTGTGGAGAGAGGGGCTCCCGCCGAGGCGAAGCAACCGGAGAAACGCCAGGTCCCGCACCGCCAGACGGCACAAGGGGAGGTCCAGTGGCCGCAGGCTCAGCAGCTCCAGGCTCAGCAGCTCCAGACGCAGCACCCCCTGGCTCAGCACCCCAAGACTCCGCACCCCCAGGCTCAGCACCCCCAGTCGCAGCACCCCCAGGCTCAGCACTCCCAGACTCCGCACCCCCAGGCTCAGCACCCCCAGTCGCAGTACCCCCAGGCTCAGCACCCCCAGACTCAGCACCCTCAGGCTCAGCACCCGCAGCAGGACCAGAGTCACCAGCAACCTCGACCGGCTCGACTGCGTCTACCTGGGACACACCTGAAGGGGCAGGACCCTGAGGGGGAAGGGGGTCTACCGGGGGGGGACCTGGCACAAGGAAGTGCGGTGGCGGGGGGAGGGAAGGAGTGCGGTAGGGGAAGAGGCGGTAGAAGGGGACTGACTCGTCGAACGTGACGTCCTGGGAGGACAGAACACGCCGAGAGGAGGGGTGGTAGAACTGCCACCCTGGAGCGTCAGGGGGGAAGCCGAGGAAGACACAGGGAGCAGCACGAGGGGACAGCTTGTCCGCAGACAAGTCGCGGACAAACGCCCGAGATCCCCAGACACGGAACGCAGACGCATCGCCGACCTTCCCCGTCCACAGCAGAGCTGGGGAGGTCTCCGGCCGGGAGACCCTGGGGTGAAGGTTGATCTGATGCGCCGCGTACCGAACCGCAAACGGCCACAGAAAATGGGGGGCAGCCGCATGCATCATGGACGTACGAGCGACGTCCATGACCATGCCAATGCGGCGCTCAGCAATCCCATTTTGCTGTGGAGAGTCCGGAAGCGTAAAGGTCTGGCGGATGCCTCGTGCACGACAGTAGGCTCGCAGAAGGCCAGAGGAGAACTCTCCACCTCGGTCAGAGTGCAGACGCAGAACCGGAAAGTCCGAGCCGAAGCTCCTCCTGAGCTGGAGACGAGCTGCGCGGATCCAGTCGATCAACACCTCAGTGACATCACCCTTGCTGCGCAAGGGGAAGACTGTGGTGTAACGCGAGTAGTCGTCAACCACCAGCAGGAAGTAGCGCTCGTGACCCAGCCCACGGACGCGGGCGGGGCCCCACACGTCCATGTGAAGCGTCTGCAGTGGAGCCTCTGTCGGGGGGAACTGGGAGGAGTGAGGGGCAGCCCGGAGCCGCCCCTCGACACAGGGGACACAAGAAGGTCCGGGTCCCGAAGGAAGGGGAGGGAGAGACCGGGGAAGACCAGAGACAAGGACACGGGAAGCCATGCCCCGAAGACGAAGCAAGGAGGGGTGGCCAAGACGGTGGTGCCACAGGAGAGTCTCGTGAGACAAGCGGCGACACGAGCAGGGGGCAGACTCAGGACCAGACCTGGACGCAGCAGCAAACACCTGACCCGACGCAGCTACCTGGCCAGACGCAGGGACAGGAGGAGACGCAGTGGTCAGTGTGTAGAGACTCGACCCCGGCCGACGCGAGAACGTGGCCAGGTGTCGGCCTGTGCGGGCGTCCGAGCAGTGGGTCACCCGCTGACTCGCAGGAGTAAACTGGTGAACCCCCGCATCCTGGAGGTCAGCACCACTCACCAAGTTCGTCGAGAACGAGGGGAGGTACAGACCAGACAAGGTGCCCGAGGGGGCAGCCGGACACGGGAGGACAGTGGAGAAGTGAGAGAGGACTGGACCCCCAGTGGGGTCAGCCAGGGAAACTGCAACCGGCCGGCCAAGCGGCGTGAGTGTGGTGCGGTCTCGAAAGAAGGAGCGAGAAGCCCCTGAGTCAAGCGTGAAGGTGAGGGAGGCCGAAGCCGACGCAGTACCTGAGAGCGCAGCCTCACCAGTACCTGAGAGTGCAGACGCACTGGCACCTAGAGCAGCAGCCTCAGAAGTACCTAGCGTAGCAGTACCAATGCCCGGGTCGGGCGGGAAACACCGGTAACAGTCACCCTCCTCACTAATAGTCACAGCATACATGGCAGCAAGGATAGCATCAAAGTCAAGATCAAAGATAGCTACGCCAGCCCTAGACAGCTCTCCCCAACGGGGAATCTCACTGGCCTCGGGGAACTGCTGACGCCAAGCGTCCGTCAGGCGGCCAAATCAGCGCTGAGTGGGGTGCGCACCCCCACACTGCTCACCCGCGCGGTCACCGGAACGAAGGACGTAGGTGCACGGACCAAAACCCCCACCCCGCTGACGCTGCGTGTACCACTCACGGAGCTGCTGGGGCGGGGGGATGTCCCGCGAACGCTGCTGCTGCTGCTGCTGCTGCTGCTGCTGACGCTGGCCACCACTAGGGCCGCTACGCTGCGGGGCACCACCCCGACCAGCTCCACCCCCTCCGCCACCGCTGCCTCCACCTCCACCACCACCGCTGCCTCCGCTCCCACCGATGCCGCCACCACCGCCTTCTCCTCCGCTGCTGCCACCGCCACCACCGCCCCCGCCACCACTCCAACCGTCACCCCCACTCCCTCCTCCGCCTCCACCGCCTCCTCTACCGCCCCCGCCAGCTCCACCCGCGCCCTTGCCCCCCTTGCCCCTGCCAGGGCGGCGTCTCCCGCTAGGGGCAGACGCCGCGCAGACCGACTCAAGACCAAGCAGGTCGGCAGCAGCAGCAGAGGCAACAGAGGGCAGCAGGGGGGAAGGAGAGCACCCCTCAAAGATGGGGGTGCGAGGGTCACCACGAGAGGCTCCTACAGCGACGATGCTCTTCTCCGCCGCCAGGAGGGACTTCTCGAGGAGGTCGACAGTGAGAGTGGTGGGACAGACCGAGAGGTAGTGGTCCCTGACTACGCGAAGGGAGTCAGGGAGGCGTGTGACTATGTAATAGAGAGTGATGTACATGGGGGGGGGGTTCTTGGCGCAGAACTCAGCAGGAAGGGCGGCGCGGTAGCGAGTGTCACTAGTGCGGAGGTGCGTAATGAGGTCAGCGACAGTGGGAAAGGCAGTAAGGTCAGGAAAGAGGTACGGTAGCATGAGGCGGCTCAGGGCAGCAGTGGCAGGGGAAGAGTAGCGCGCAACTACAGCGTCGTACAAGGTCTGAGCACTCTTGTACTGACTAAAGTGCGCGCGCTCAGTGGTAGGCAGGTGGCGACGCACAGCAAGACGTGCAGCAGCATCGCGGGTGGCCCACTGAGAGCGAACAGTGGGGTCAGCATCAGTAGCAGGGGCAGGAGAGGCGCCAGAGGTGAGGTCAAAGAGGGAAAGACCGTCCGCCCTATCGCACTGTAAGAACAGCTGCAGGTCGTCGACCCAGACCTCAAAGTCAATGGCTCGACCCTCAGCGTCAAAAGCGAGGACACTAGGGGTAGCCATGACGACGACAGACGAGCAGTGCAAGCAGTAGGGGAAGGGCACGCAGTGACAGTGGGGCTGTGCTCACCGGACAGGGCAGGTCGGGCGGCTCGGCAGTAGGGCGGCTCGGCTGCTCAGCTGCTCGGCGGCAGGGCGGCTCGGCTGCTGGGCGGCTCGGCTGTTGGGCGGCTCGGCGGCAGTGCGGCTCGGCTCCCGGGCGGCTCGGTGGCAGGGCGGCTCGGCGGCAGGGCGGCTCGGCTCCCGGGCGGCTCGGCGGCAGGGCGGCTCGGCTCCCGGCGGTTCTGCTGCTAGGCGGCTCCCGCAGGTAGGGCGGCGGTAGGGCCGCAGGTAGGGCGGCGGGCGGGCCGTAGGTAGGGCGGCGGGGGGGGGCCGTAGGTAGGGCAGCGGGCTTGCCGCAGGTAGGGTGGCGGGCGGGCCGCAGGCAGGGCGGCGGTAGGGCCGCAAGTAGGGCGGCGGGCGGGCCGCAGTTAGGGCGGCGGGCGGGCCGCAGGTAGGGCGGCTGGCGGGCCGCAGGTAGGGCAGCGGGCGGGCCGCGACGTGAGGGCGGCGGGGCCGCTGTAGTGGGGCGGCGGGGCCGCTTAGCAGAGGGCGGCGGGGCCGCGTGAGCAGGGCGGCGGGGCCGCGTGAGCAGGGCGGCGGGGCCGCGAAGCAGAGGGCGGGCGGGCCGTGACGTGAGGGCGGCTGGGCCGCTGTAGCAGGGCGGCGGGGCCGCTTAGCAGAGGGCGGCGGGGCCGCGTGAGCAGGGCGGCGGGGCCGCGAAGCAGAGGGCGGCTGGGCCGCGCGAGCAGGGCGGCGGGGCCGCGAAGGAAGGGCGGCGGGGCCGCGTTAGTAGGGCGGCGAGGCCGCGAAGGAAGGGCGGCAGGGCCGCTTGAGCAGAGTGGCGGGGCCGCGAAGGGAGGGCGGCGGGGCCGCGAGGGGCGACACGGAGGGTCGCTAAAAAAAAGGAAAACGCGCCTCGGGGCGCGCTTCGGTGGGCCCTAGAAGCAGTCCCTAGGAGGGGACCTGCTCTGATTCCATGTGAAATAAGAACGAGGATGTTTGAACTATGAATGAAGTGAGTACATATGGGAAACCCTAATTGGGTTGTACCCCTTATGGGATACCCCACTATAGCCTACACAACAGCATAAGCTATATAATGTTCTGACAAGGTGTATTTGAACATGGGCCATCTGAATATGCAACAATATTGGGGTCGTTGGATGCTTTCCCCTACGCCTATAGGGATCCGTGCGCTTCCTTAGCATTTGGGGGCAGGCACGGCCGTCGTCGCGGGCGCCGAACTTTTCTGTGCGCGCGAACCAAGCTGAAGTTGCTCTGGTAGGTGTATTTGAACATGGGCCATCTGAATATGCAACTATATTGGGGTCGTTGGATGCTTTCCCCTACGCCTATAGGGATCCGTGCGCTTCCTTAGCATTTGGGGGCAGGCACGGCCGTCGTCGCGAGCGCCGAACTTTTCTGTGCGCGCGAACCAAGCTGAAGTTGCTCTGGTAGGTGTATTTGAACATGGGCCACCTAAATATGCAACAATATCCGGGTCATTGGATGCTTTCCCCTACGCCTATAGGGTTTCGTGCCCTTCCTTAGCATTTGGGGGCAGGCACGGCCGTCGTCGCGGGCGCCGAACTTTTCTGTGCGCGCGAACCAAGCTGAAGTTGCTCTGGTAGGTGTATTTGAACATGGGCCACCTAAATATGCAACAATATCTGGGTCGTTGGATGCTTTCCCCTACGCCTATAGGGATCCGTGCGCTTCTTTAGCATTTGGGGGCAGGCACGGCCGTCGTCGCGGGCGCCGAACTTTTCTGTGCGCGCGAATCACGCTGAAGTTGCTCTGGTAGGTGTATTTGAACATGGGCCATCCGAATATGCAACAATATTCGGGTCGTTGGATGCTTTTCCCTACGCCTATAGGGATCCGTGCGCTTCCTTAGCATTTATGTGCAGGCATGGCCGTCGTCGCGGGCGCCGAACTTTTATGTGCGCGCGAACCAAGTTGAAGTTGCTCTGGTAGGTGTATTTGAACATGGGCCACCCGAATATCCAACAATATTCGGGTCGTTGGATGATTTTCCCTACCCCTATAGGGATCCGTGCGCTTCCTTAGCATTTGTGTTCAGGCATGGCCGTCGTCGCCGAACTTTTCTGTGCGCGCGAACCAAGCTGAAGTTGCTCTGGTACGTGTATTTGAACATGGGCCACCCGAATGTGCAACAATATTCGGGTCGTTGGATGCTTTCCCCTACGCCTATAGGGATCCGTGCGCTTCCTTAGCATTTGGGGGCAGGCACGGCCGTCGCCGCGGGTGCCGAACTTTTCTGTGCGCGCGAACCAAGCTGAAGTTGCTCTGGTAGGTGTATTTGAACATGGGCCACCCGAACATGCAACAATATTTGGGTCGTTGGATGCTTTTCCGTACGCCTATAGGGATCAGTGCGCTTCCTTAGCATTTGGGGGCAGGCACGGCCGTCGTCGCGGGCGCCGAACTTTTCTGTGCGCGCGAACCAAGCTGAAGTTGCTCTGGTAGGTATATTTGAACATGGGCCACCCGAATATGCAACAATATTGGGATCGTTGGATGCTTTTCCCTACGCCTCAAGGGATCCGTGCGCTTCCTTAGCATTTGTAGGCAGGCACGGCCGTTGTCGCGGGCGCCGAACTATTCTGTGCGCGCGAACCAAGTTGAAGTTGCTCTGGTAGGTGTATTTGAACATGGGCCACTCGAATGTGCAACAATATCCGGGTCGTTGGATGCTTTCCCCTACGCCTATAGGGATCCGTGCGCTTCCTTAGCATTTGGGGGCAGGCACGGCCGTCGTTGCGGGCGCCGAACTTTTCTGTGCGCGCGAACCAAGCTGAAGTTGCTCTGGTAGGTGTATTTGAACATGGGCCATTCGAATATGCAACAATATTGGGGTCGTTGGATGCTTTTCCCTACGCCTATAGGGATCTGTGGGCTTCCTTAGCATTTGTGTGCAGGCACGGCCGACGTCGCGGGCGCCGAAGTGTGCGCGCGAACCAAGCTGAAGTTGCTCTGGTAGGTGTATTTGAACATGGGCCACCTGAATATGCAACAATATCCGGGTCGTTGGATGCTTTCCCCTAGGCCTATAGGGATCCGTGCGCTTCCTTAGCATTTGAGGGCAGGCACGGCCGTCGTCGCGGGCGCCGAACTTTTCTGTGCGCGCGAACCAAGCTGAAGTTGCTCTGGTAGGTGTATTTGAACATGGGCCACCTAAATATGCAACAATATCCGGGTCGTTGGATGCTTTCCCCTAGGCCTATAGGGATCCGTGCGCTTCCTTAGCATTTGGGGGCAGGCACGGCCGTCGTCGCGGGCGCCGAACTTTTCTGTGCGCACGAATCACGCTGAAGTTGCTCTGGTAGGTGTATTTGAACATGGGCCATCCGAATATGCAACAATATTCGGGTCGTTGGATGCTTTTCCCTACGCCTATAGGGATCCGTGCGCTTCCTTAGCATTTGTGTGCAGGCATGGCCGTCGTCGCGGGCGCCGAACTTTTATGTGCGCGCGAACCAAGCTGAAGTTGCTCTGGTAGGTGTATTTGAACATGGGCCACCCGAATATCCAACAATATTCGGGTCGTTGGATGATTTTCCCTACCCCTATAGGGATCCGTGCGCTTCCTTAGCATTTGTGTTCAGGCATGGCCGTCGTCGCCGAACTTTTCTGTGCGCGCGAACCAAGCTGAAGTTGCTCTGGTACGTGTATTTGAACATGGGCCACCCGAATGTGCAACAATATTCGGGTCGTTGGATGCTTTCCCCTACGCCTATAGGGATCCGTGCGCTTCCTTAGCATTTGGGGGCAGGCACGGCCGTCGCCGCGGGCGCCGAACTTTTCTGTGCGTGCGAACCAAGCTGAAGTTGCTCTGGTAGGTGTATTTGAACATGGGCCACCCGAACATGCAACAATATTTGGGTCGTTGGATGCTTTTCCGTACGCCTATAGGGATCAGTGCGCTTCCTTAGCATTTGGGGGCAGGCACGGCCGTCGTCGCGGGCGCCGAACTTTTCTGTGCGCGCGAACCAAGCTGAAGTTGCTCTGGTAGGTGTATTTGAACATTGGCCACCCGAATATGCAACAATATTGGGATCGTTGGATGCTTTTCCCTACGCCTCAAGGGATCCGTGCGCTTCCTTAGCATTTGTAGGCAGGCACGGCCGTTGTCGCGGGCGCCGAACTATTCTGTGCGCGCGAACCAAGTTGAAGTTGCTCTGGTAGGTGTATTTGAACATGGGCCACTCGAATGTGCAACAATATCCGGGTCGTTGGATGCTTTCCCCTACGCCTATAGGGATCCGTGCGCTTCCTTAGCATTTGGGGGCAGGCACGGCCGTCGTTGCGGGCGCCGAACTTTTCTGTGCGCGCGAACCAAGCTGAAGTTGCTCTGGTAGGTGTATTTGAACATGGGCCACCCGAACATGCAACAATATTCGGGTCGTTGGATGCTTTTCCCTACGCCTATAGGGATCCGTGCGCTTCCTTAGCATTTGGGGGCAGGCACTGCCGTCGTTGCGGGCGCCGAACTTTTCTGTGCGCGCGAACCAAGCTGAAGTTGATCTGGTAGGTGTATTTGAACATGGGCCACCCGAATATGCAACAATATTGGGATCGTTGGATGCTTTTCCCTACGCCTCGAGGGATCCGTGCGCTTCTTTAGCATTTGTAGGCAGGCACGGCCGTTGTCGCGGGCGCCGAACTTTTCTGTGCGCGCGAACCAAGCTGAAGTTGCTCTGGTAGGTGTATTTGAACATAGGCCACTCGAATATGCAACAAAATTCGGGTCGTTGGATGCTTTTCCCTACGCCTATAGCGGGATCCGTGTGCTTCTTTAGCATTTGTGTGCAGGCACGACCGTCGTCGCGGGCGCCGAACTTTTCTGTGCGCGCGAACCAATCTGAAGTTGCTCTGGTAGGTGTATTTGAACATGGGCCATCTGAATAAGCAACAATATTCGGGTCGTTGGATGCTTTTCCCTACGCCTATAGGGATCCGTGCGCTTCTTTAGCATTTGTGTGCAGGCACGGCCGTCGTCGCGGGCGCAGAACTTTTCTGTGCGCGCGAACCAATCTGAAGTTGCTCAGGTAGGTGTATTTGAACATGGGCCACCCGAATATCCAACAATATTCGGGTCGTTGGATGCTTTTCCCTACCCCTATAGGGATCCGTGCGCTTCCTTAGCATTTGTGTGCAGGCATGGCCATCGTTGCCGAACTTTTCTGTGCGCGCGAACCAAGCTGAAGTTCCTCTGGTAGGTGTATTTGAACATGGGCCACCCGAATGTGCAACAAT